CCTCCCCCACGGGGAAAGTGCAGGGGAGGTCAGGGCACTTGGGGATCCCCTGGCAGGGGCAAGGGGGTGTCCGGGCTGGGGAGGGCAGGGCCCTGCCGGGGGAGGTTATGGGGTGTGTGTGGAGATCAGTGGGGGGGAGGATCCAGGCCAGTGCCCCCCTTGCACTCCCATGCCCACCCAATCACACCCCTCTGCCCTCCCCCCCATTGTCACACCCCCCTCGCTGCTACTGTCCCCTTCCTCTCCCCCGCTGTCGCACCCCCCACTTCTCCCCCTGCTGTCATGCCCCCCACTGCCTCCCCCGGCCACACCCCCCGGTACATCCCCCCTAAAGTAGCCCCCTATATGCCCCACTGCACCCCCTAATGCAGCCCCCTGTACACTGCACCTACCTCAGTGCAACCCACCATAACCCTCAAAGCAACCCCCCTGGCAGCCCCCCCCCAAATCCCACTGCCCTCTTTCCTTCTAACTTCCCCGCTCCCCGATTCTCCCCCATACATCCTCCCCCGGCCCTGCTGGCCCCTCACGGGACCCCTTGTGCGCTGCCTCCCCCCCGTACCCCCCACTGCACCTCTCCCATATCCCATGTGCCCCCATACCCTCCTGCAACCCCTCCCTTGTACCCCCACCCCGACTGTACCCCCTGCACCCCTACTGCCTGCTACAACCGCTCCCTTGTTCCCCCACCCCACTGTACCCCCACCCCGACTGCCCCCCCATACCCTCTCACCTTCGCACCATCCCCTTCTTGCCCTAATCCCCATCACACACACCTGGGGCAATGGCCGTGACCTCCAGCCCTCTCCCTCACACCCCTTTTGCCCCCACATGGCACACGCGGCCCATAGGGTCATTTCCCACCCCCCACAAACGCAGTCATTGCCTGCATCCCTCATGCCCCCCCCACCCCATGGCCCTTCCCCACGCCGCTCACCGCCCCACACCGCTCACCCACAACCCACACTGCTCACACACACCCCGTACCCGCAACCCTCACTGCCCTACACCCTCACACGCACCTTTACCCTAACCGCTCGCACCCCTTACTGCCCTATGCCCCCCCTACACACCCCCTTCCCCTATACATACATCCTTCACCCTCACACCTTTCACCCCCACACACACTCCGTACCCACAACCCACACTGCTCACACACCCCCCGTACCCTCAACCCTCACCTCCCTACACCCTCACACACACCCCGTACCCACAACCCACACTGCTCACGCACCCCGTACCCTCAACCCTCACCTCCCTACACCCTCACACACACCCCGTACCCACAACCCACACTGCTCACACACACCCCGTACCCTCAACCCTCACCTCCCTACACCCTCACACACACCCCGTACCTACAAGCCACACTGCTCACGCACACTCCGTACCCACAACCCTCACTGCCCTACACCCTCACACGCACCTTTACCCTAACCGCTCACACCCCTTACTGCCCTATGCCCCCCCTACACACCTCCTTCCCCTATACATACATCCTTCACCCTCACACCTTTCACCCCTCACACACACTCCGTACCCACAACCCTCACCTCTGTACACCCCGTCCCCACACCCCTCACCGCCCCACACCCTCACCCCCCTTTCACCTCGTACACACCCCCACCGCCCTACACCCCTTCACTCCCTTACGAAGGCCCCTCACCCCCATTGCCCTGATCCATGCCCCTCCAACACAAACACAGCCGTCACGCACCCCCCCCTCCCCTCACGCGCACCCCATGGCCCGTTACACCCCTCCTCTCCCTGCATGGTGGACGGGTGGTGGGGGGCGAGGGGTGGCTCAAGCCAGGGCCTGGTGTTGTGGTTCTCCTAAGAAATGAATTACTAACGGGCCCTTGTGACTCTGTGTGCGTGAGTGTGAGAGAGAGGGCGTCGCCATGTGTGTTTGTGCGTTGCTGGTCGTACGTACGACACACTGCCGTGTGGGTGTGCTCCGTGCTGTGTGTGTCTGGGCAGGTACCGTGGACGGGCGTGCGGGGACGGTGCCGAGGGTGATCGTGTGTGCGTCTGGCTGTTTGCACGCGCCTGCGATTGTCTATGCGTTGCCGGGTCTGGGCAGTGTTGTGTGTGTGGCAACGGAGGGTGTGAGTTTGTGCGGTGCTGCGCCATGGGGCCTGGGAGGGCCAGGAAGCAGGACAAGGCCGGGGACCAGGGAGTGGGGCTGAGGACCGGGCGGGGGGGAGGTGTGGGGGGGACCAGGGACCGGGCAAGTGGGGAGGGGTCAGAGGGTGCCAGGAGCCACATGGGGGTGGGGGGGCAGCTTGGGCAGGACTGAAGAACAAGTGGGGCAGTGGGACCAGTGGGGCAGGGGACGTTTGGGCCCGTCTGACTCCCCCCTCCCATCGGCCGGTCCCATGTCCCCCCCGCTGTGTATGTGTGTGGGGGGGTTTCTTCTGAGGACAGGCGGTGTGTGTGGCGGGGTGTCAGAGAGAGGGGGGTGGTCTCCGTTCCCCAGCACCCCTCTATTCCAACCCCCGGGCCCAGACACGGCTCCGGCCGCTGGCCAGGCAAGCCAGGGGGGCCGGGGTGGGGGGCCCTGGATCTCTCTTTTGTCCACGGTCCCCTTTCCGCCCCCTTGATCTCCGCCCGCCTCCATCCCCCTGCTCTGCCCCGGTCCCTATGATTCAGGCCTCCTGCGTTTCCCGTCTCCACGGAAAACAGCAGCCGCGTAAACCCCGCCACGGGGCCCCGTCCCCGCCCGGCTTCCCCCCGCGGCCTTGCCCGGCTCTGGCTGGGAGAGAGCAGGCCACGGATCCGCGATACCAGCCACGATCCCCCGCGGGTTCCGGGCGTGCGGTTCGGGAGGAGCAGGAAGGGCCGGCGTAAAAACCCCACAAAGAGCTTGGGACGATTTTCCCCCGCCCGGAAACTTTGTGAGAGTGGAGAATCAGTGGGACTTGTAAAAAATCATCCAAAAACGACCCCTCGCCCGGTGCTGAGATGCGGCCGCCTCTGGGGCGGGCGGCTGGTTATACACGGACCCCACGCCCAGCACTGAGATGCAGCCACCTCTGGGGTAGGGCAGCTGGCTATACACGGACCCCACGCCCAGCACTGAGATGCAGCCACCTCTGGGGTAGGGCAGCTGGCTATACACGGACCCCACGCCCAGCACTGAGATGCAGCCACCTCTGGGGTAGGGCAGCTCGTTATACACGGACCCCACGCCCAGCTCTGAGATGCAGCCACCTCTGGGGTGAGGCGGCTGTTTTATACCGGGATCCCTCGCACCGCACTGCAGCACCGGGCTCAGGGCTGACTGCCGGGGTGGGGGGGAGACTGCCCCTCTCCCTGCAGCACCCCGGGTCTCCCATCTTCTTCGTGATCCAGCTGCTCGCTGATGAATGGTGAGATCAGCCTGGATCCCCGGCCAGGGCCGGGGCGGCGGGCGGCCAAAAGAGAGGAGTTTAAGATATTCCAGATGTATGGGATGAGGAATGGCAGAGATTGGTTTTGTTTACAACACGTTTGAAAGTCACCCCAGTGTGAGGCTGTCCTAGTGCGAAAGCAGTTCACAATTGGCTCGTGAGCGCTTGATCTATGTCAGTCGCGTGTGTCTCTCTCCCTTTGGGAGGGAGCGTGTGTGCACGCGTGTGCAGGTTGGTGCTTGCGAGCATGTGTTCGTGGGTGCGCCTTTACGTCTCTTCAGCGGGAGGGCGGATGGGAACGAGTGTGGATTTGCGCATGTACGCTGGGTGGGTTTGTGAACGAGTGTGCGTTTGTGGGTGTAGCGTGGGCGTGTACAATGTGAGTGTTTGGGCATGTGCCGTGGGTGTGCTTGTGGATAAGTGTGCCTTTGTATAGTGGGCATGTGAATGGGTTTGTTTGTGAGTGAGGCTGTATTTGGGTGTGTACCATGTATGGGTGTGTTGGTGAATGTGTGCCCTTGTTTGTACAATGGGTATGCAAACAGGAGTGTTTGTCAGTGAGTGTATTTGTGTATGTACAACATGACCAAGTGTGAATGAGTGTATCTGTGTGTGTTTTACAGTGTACGTGTGAATAAGTGTGCAACTGTGCATTCAGTTGGTATGCTTGCAAGTAGGGTGAGTGTGTTTGAGTGTACAATGAATACGTTTGTGTGTGCGCGCCGTGGACGGGTGCGTGTGCGTGGTTGTCAGTGTATGTGTCTGGGTGTGTACACTACAGGTACGTATGCTTGTGAATGTATGTTCTGATGCGTTGGTATGTACAGTGTAGTAACGTTGTGTTTGTGTGTCAAGAGCGCACGTTTGTGTGGGTGTACGGCATAGAAATGAGTGTGTGTGTTTGTGTATTTGGAGTGTATGCAGTGTAGAGGTAATATGGGGTAGAGGTATTGAGTGTCTGTGTATAGAAAGCATTGGGAAGTGTGTGTATGATATAGGTCTACAAGTGTGTGTTGGTGAATTAGTGTGTGTCTGGGTGTGTTGGTGAGGGTGTGCATGTTACGTGTGTACAGCGGGTGAGTCTCTTTTTGTGTGTGATGCCACAGGAGTGTAAAGTCTTATTGAACTGTACTGTGTCCGATTGTCCGTGTTTGCTTGCTGTATCCCATGTGTTTGTGTGCCAACACGTGTGTGTGCCAACATCTCGGTGTGCCGCTGTGCGGTTGTGTACAGCATCAGCGGGTGTGGTGCTTGGCATGGGTCTGTCAGTACAGTGTGTGTGTGTGCACGCACGGTGTAGGGGTTGTCTGTGCCGGGTGTGAGTGTACTCTGTGTGTGTGTGTGTGTGTGAGAGAGAGAGGAGATTTGCAGTGTTTGTGTTTGTACAGTGTGTTTATGGGAGGTTGTGTGTACAGTGTGTGTCTCTATGCAATGTGTATACTGTGTGTGTGTGTGTGTGATATTACACCCCTCCTTTTAAAGGGGCATTTTGCTTGGAGAACATTTTTGTAGGGGCTGTTTCTTTAACGCAGGTCCCAGCTGGATCACGGGGTTGACATGGGAAGGGGCCTGGTGACGTCACAGCCAGTTCAGCCAACGAGTATCCAGGTGAGCCGAGTGCATCCCCTTGCTTGCATCCTATTGGCTCAGGCGGGGGTGTGATGCGGGTGACGGGCTGTCACTATTCTGTCCTGGCCAGGTTAAAGGTCTTTCCCCTGCCAAGACCTGGGTTCTGGGGCTGTTACCCCAGCAACAGCGGGTGACACCCTCATCCCCAGAGAGCAGGTCTCCTCCTGCTGTTGGGGACGTCATAGGCTGTTGCCATGGGGACCGCCTGACCCTGCTCTCCCGGTCCTGGCAGGTAGGTGAGGGAGGAAGCAGATCTGTCAGCCGCCTTGGCTGGAGCGGGGAAGGGAAGGGGGAAAACGGCAGTTTGGGGTTTCTATGGCAATGCGTAGTTTTGGGTGAAGGGTTTTGTTCCCGGGTCCATTCGATGGAGGGCTGGTTTCTGCAGCGAGGGGTTGACGTGGTCGGGAGGGATTTAACGGCCCCAGATTTCCAGCACCGCTGTGATGGGGATGCCCCCGATGCTGTCAGACTGTACTTGGCATGTACACCTCATGTCCTGAGCCTGTATATCTCGTGTCCGCCCCCAACGACGTCAGACTGTATTCCTCATACACACCCCAGTCACATCATTCTGTACCTGACACCCCCCCACTTATGTCAGACTGTACCTGAACATACACCCCATTACATCACACTGTACCTCTGAGACACAGACCGATTACAGCAGACTGTACCTGACGTATACAGCGGTGACATCACACTGTACTCGACACGTACAACTCAGTCGTCAGATTGTACCTGACCCACACACGCCAATTACATGAGATTGTACTTGGCACATACATCCCAGTTATGTCTGATTGTACCTGGCACATACACCCTAATTACATTACGTTCTATCTAATGTCTGCACCCTAATTACTTTTGATGGTTTTGTGACACACACACACGCACACCAGTTAAAGCACACATTTTTACCACATGCTGTTCAAAAGGTATGCCCTGACTGTGTCGGACTGACACACACACACATCAAATACATCACACCGTAGCTGACGCGCATCCCAGAAACATCACACTGTACGTAAAACTTACCCCAGACCGGCCTTGCGTCAAATGAGACACACACCAACTTCATCAGACTGCACCTGGGGACCCCCCCACCCCCACCCCAGTTACATCAGTATGTAGGTGTGATACACCTTCCCCTATCTCTAATTGCTTCTGACTGTCCCTGGGACAAACATACACACCGCTTGCATCAGACTGTAGGTGGGATACACCTCCTCCCTATCTTTGATTGTCCTTGACTGTTTCAGGGGCACACCGCCCCCGCCCCTGTTACATCAGACTGTAGGTGTGACACACCTCCTCCCCATCCTTGATTGTCCCTGACTGTATCGGGGCGCGCACACTCCCCCCCCCGCCACAGTTACATCAGATGGTAGGTGTGATACACCTCCTCCCCATCTCTGATTAGCTTCGACTGTAAACAGCCTGGTTACCTCAGAGTGTATCTTTTCTTCCACCTGTGATTACTTCTGACTGTACCTGGGGAAACAACGCCCCCCCCCCGTACTAATCAGCATGTAGCTGTGATATACCTCCCTGACGTCTCTTGATTAACTCTGACTGTACCTTGTGTGGGGGGAAGACCCCCCCCCCCATTTATATCCGAGTGTAGCTGCGACGCATCCCCCACCTCAACTCTGATTATATCCGACTGTAAACCTCCCCCCCCCCTTCCGAATTTTAATCCGAACATAGCCCGTGGTACAGCTCCCCACCGTCTCCAATTAGCTCTGGCTGTATCTGGGACACGCACACCAGTTACGTCACGGTGTAGCTGGGCTACCCCTCCCCCCCCCCCGGTCTCGGAGCCTGTACCATTGACACGCACCCGCCTCTCCGGTTTCTAACACGTATCCAGCCGCTCCGCCAGCCTCTGCCTGTGACCCATTTGCCTCGATTCGTTGCACCGTGCGGGTGCCGCTGGCCGGTGACAGTGTGGCGGAAGGTTTTGTTTGGCTGCTGGGGATTTTTGGCGTGTGTGTGTGTCCATGTGTGTCTGTGTGTGTGTGTGTGTCCGCCTGGCTGGGCCCCTCCAGCGTCAGGCCGCGATGTTAATGTAACGCGACGGCAGCTCGGCTGAGATCCCAGGCTGTCTCCGGAAAGACGCGGGGGTCTTTTTCCACCCCTGCCCCCCTCACCGCAGTGTTTGCTTAGCCGGTGGGACGCGTTTGGAGCCCCACGGGAGGGGGGAAGGGGGGAGGCTCCCTCTGAATTCAGCTGGGAGCTGGAGCCGCCCCTTAATTAGTAACATGTTATCCACCATGTGACCTTGGTACAGGACTCCTGGGTTCTTTCACCGGCTCTGGGAGGGGAGTGGGGGCTAGTGGTTAGAGCAGGGGGGCTGGAAGCCAGGACTCCTGGGTTTTTTCCCCGGCTCTGGGAGGGGAGTGGGGGGTAGTGGTTAGAGCAGGGGGGCTGGGAGCCAGGACTCCTGGGTTCTCTCCCCAGTTCTGGGAGGGGAGTGGGATCTGGTGGGTTAGAGCAGTGGGGGCCCGGGAGCCAGGGCTCCTGGGTTCTCTCCCCAGTTCTGGGAGGGGAGTGCGGGCTAGTGGTTAGAGCAGGGGGGACTGGAAGCCAGGACTCCTGGGTTCCTTCCCCGGGTCTGGCAGGGGACTGAGGTCTAGTGGTTAGAGCAGGGGGCTGGGAGGCAGGACTCCTGGGTTCTCCTTCGAGTGATGTGCTCAGAAAAATCTCTTCCCCTCTGTGCCTCAGTTTCCCCACCTATAAAATTTGGCTGGCTGTCCATCCTCCTTCCAGGTGGGGGCTTCATTCATTAATTCCCTTCTGAGACCAGGGGAAGGAAGGTGCTCCCCTATAAATAACCCCAAGTAATTCACTGGTCACTGGGCCTGTGTCCAGCCACTACGGATCATCTCTTTGTCCTTTGTATGTACAGCCCCTTGCGCAAAGGGGAACCGGGTGACTGGGGCTCCCAGGTGCTGCCCCAAGGCAGTATTAATCATAATTAATTAAATGTTCCTAGAGTCTCAATTACCCGAGCCCTACCAGTCCCCCATGTTAGCCCTTTCTGTGCCAGTCCGCCCTTGTAAGGGCCCATTTGTTAATAATTTTATGATTTAATTATCAGTTGTTTTTGGAGGCCGTGCACCCTGAGTACTAGCACACGACTGGGGCTCAGGACACGTGAGCCAGGGATAGAACCCAGGAGTCCTGTCGCTGGCCAAGTCGTTTTCCCTGCGCTGTGCCTCAGTTTCCCCCGTTTAACACAGCGATCTCTTTCCAACATTTAACCACCGGAAGATGCGCAGAGTCGTCAGCTCAGGGAAGTCTCCGCAGAGCAGTGAAAGATGGAGGCAGCTGAGTTTTAACTGGCAGGCGGCGGGGCCTAGTGAGTGGAGCACTGGGCTGGGATTCTGGACGACCTGTATTCTCTGTATTTTTCTGACTTGTGTGGGGAGGAAATTCACTGCAAAAAAAACTTGGCCAGGGTGGGGCAACTGGGAGAGACAAATGCAGAGGTTTGGGCTAGGAAGAGACTGGTCGTCGAATCCAGGCCCCTCTGATCCGGGAAACCCTGATCCTGCTTCACCCTCGCGCTGAACCTCAAGTGTTTAAACCCCCCAAATTAGCTTCATAATTGCGGGATTTTAAACATGGTCCTTGGTGTGGTTTTTTTGTTTGTTTTTCTGGGATCTGGGCCCGTAGCTGGGTCCCTTTTCCCAGCGTTTTCTCTCCCAATGACGAAAGCTTTAATCCAATGACTCCAGGAGCTGGGGCTTTAACAGAAAATGAAAACCATCCGATTAGTTCAGCGCCCCTCCCCAGACACCCCCAGAGCATGATGCAATGAGAGTGATGGGTGTGTGATGCTCCCTGCTCCATGATCAGTCAGACTGCTACCCTGGTTTACAGAGCGGGGAAACTGAGGCACGAGGCGGGGCGGGATTCACCCAGGGGCATAAAGTGAGGAATAGAACCCAGGAGTCCTGGCTCCCAGCCCCCCCTGCTCTGACCACCATCCCCCACTCCCCTCCCAGAGCTGGGGAGAGAACCCAGGAGTCCTGGCTCCCAGCCCCCCTGCTCTAACCCACCAGCCCCCACTCCCCTTCCAGAGCCAGGGAGGGAGAGAACCCAGGAGTCCTGGCTCCCAGGCCCCCCTGCTCTGATCACCAGCCCCCACTCCCCTCCCGGAGCCGGGGAGAGAACCCTGGAGTCCTGGCTCCCAGCCCCCCGCTGCAGCTGTGGGTCTGAGCAGCTAACCCTTGGTGTCTCCCCACAGAGGATTCTGTCCGGGGAGAAGCAGAGCCGAGGAGCCGTGGGGCAGGAAGCTGTAGTCGATGAGGGCACCTCCCACAGGTAAGGGGCTATTAATCCTGGCTACGCCCCTCTGCCTGGGTCTCCGTGGCACGCCGGCTGGATCTAGAACCCCTTGTGCTTTGTTCTAGACCCGGTCTCCACTGTAAGGCGCGCTCACGATGTGGCCTGGGAGGGAGGTGTCCTAGGTGGGGGCGGAGGTGGGGTGAATTCCCCCCCCCAATCCCAGAGCCTCCCTGCCAATGGGCCCCCTGTAGGGGTCGCCGGATCCCCTCCGGCCCCAGGGCGGGGACTGGCTGGGTTATTCAGAACGGGGGATCTCCAGTCCCTCTTCAATTCTCACGCCCAGTTTTGGGGACTCTATTCCTTGGGGACCATGGGAAGGGGAGATCCAGGATTCATGGGAAGGGGAAGGAGGGAGGAGCAGGAGGGGACATGCAGGGGGAGGAGGAGGAGACGTGCAGAGGAAGGAGAGGAGGAGGGGGGAAGGAGGGAGGAGGGGACGGCAGAGGGAGGAGGGGATGAAGGGAGAAGGAGGGATGAGGGGACGGCAGAGGGAGGGGAGGAGGAGGAGAAAAGAGAGAGGAGGGATGAGGGAGGAGAGGAGGAGGAAGGGGGAAGGAGGGATGAGGGGGAGGAGGAAGAGGGATGAGAGGAGGGGGAAGGAGGGATGAGAGGAGGGGGTCAGGCAA